TTCATCAGTGGGCTTTTGGTCATGGGCTTATTTTGGGGTTTGGGCTATGAATTATTTGTTTGGGCTCTGGTTGGGCCTCAGGACCTTGAGTGGGCCTTAGGTTTGGTTTGGGCCTCAAGTTGTGTTGTTGGGCCATTAGTGGGACTTGAGCCAAGTTTGGGTTAGGCCCATTAAGGAAAGGGTAAAATGGTCTTTTACCCTAGGAGTCGGGACTTACGAGTTGAGACCACGGTTAATGGATTATGGCATAATTATTAATTGGGATTTATTGGTTATTAGTGTGGGATTTCCGGTTCGACAGCCGAGTGTTATTTGATCAACAGCGGATCGAGGTGAGTCTCTTCACTGGGTTTAGTGGGTCGAAGGCACCAATGTCGGCCCATGGATTTATGTTAGGAAGCTAGATGTATGTTCGACTCTTTCATGTGTTATATGATGATATGTTTACCGGGAAAGGCCCGAAGCCAGGCGAGGCCTGAGGAGGTTATCGTATGTTAATTATTAGTATGTGTCTCATGATTACCGGGGAAGGCCCGATGCCAGGTTGGGCTCGATGACTGTATGGAATGCTATAGTCTTTGTGATTATTGCATGTGTTAGTAGGTTGTATGATTATATGGGTATATGATTATGTGAGTATCGGGCGAGGCCCAATGTCAGGCGGGGCCTGGAGAATGACAGATCTGTAATCCGAGCGAGGCTCGATGACAGGCCGAGTGGAACTCGAGACCGGGCGAGGCCCGATTGAGGGTGGGGACCCAGTATGTGATTATTGTACGTGTGGTATGTGGTATCTTGGGGAACTCACTAAGCTTTATGCTTACAGTTTTCAGTTTATGTTTCACATACTTCGGTTTTCAAAAAGGAAGGGCTTGGGTTGATTTCATGGCACACACATTTTATGTTCCACATTTGACTTTGTTCTGGCATTTATACTTTGATTGTAATGTATCGATTTTGAAACAAGCAATTGATGATACTTATTCTATAATTAAAATGAAATTTTATGTTAATATTTTTGGGATGTTACAGTTGAAGAAAAGTATAATCTGGATCCACAAGCTATGGTGTAACACCGTAAATTTTCAAACCAATTTTTTTCATTTTTAAAACTTATATATTATATTTCATAAAAACCACAAGTATCTCAATGTAAACATAAAACCACAAACGAAAGTCAAATCCCAGAATCCTCAACATAATCTCGAACAGGTGTGTACAGTCATGTCGGCGCCTTCCCGCGGTCCTGAGAAGTACCTGAAACACATCACACATAATACGGTAAGCACAAAGCTTAGTAAGTTCCCCAAAATACCACATACACAAATAATAAGCCTCTCATGGCTATAACTCGGCATGGACCCTCCAGTTTCATGTGTCTCGGTGTGGACTCTCCGGTCATGCGTCTCAGTGAGGACCCTCCGGTCTCACAGCTCGGTTTGGACCCTCCGGTCCTGTCCTAGTGGAAACCCTCCGGTCCCACAACTCGGGTTGGACCCTCCGGTCCTATCTCAATAAAACACAGAATATAGCATATATATCACACAAACAAAATGCATAATATCACATAACTCAATAAGCACATAAGACCCTCCGGTCACACATAGGTACCACTCATGGTAAGTATAGTGAGAAGACTCACCTCATAAGAAATCGGATAACCTCGAACTCGAATCACCGGTCTAGCCTCCGCCTAACACATACAATAATTATCCCTAATTAATAGCGGCTCTCAAAAAGCTAGACTAACCCTTCTACAAGCTCCCGGAAGGGTAAAAGACCCAGTTTAACCCTCCTTGGCCTTAATAGTCCACAAATTGACCAAACCCTAAAAGTCAACCAAAATTCAACGGCAGAGCGTACGCTGCGCGTACCAGCTCTCTACGCTGGGCGTACTCTGCTGCCATGCAGGCATCGGGGATGCTTGACCCCTACGCGACGCGTATTGGGATTACGCTCAGCGTACGTCCCAGTTTCACTCTTCCTACTCATTTGGTCTTAATCAGTTAAGACCTTGGCTTATATCACAGATCTGGACTCCCTAATAGCTCTTACTCCATAAAGTCAGTGACTTTAAGCCTTTGCATGGCTGATAAGGTCACAAACACACAAAACTCTCACTCTCTTATCTCAAAATGCTCATATCTCATGCATGGCTTGATTCCAACGTCCAAGTCTTGATTTTTATGACACTACACCACTAAATACACTCAAATGGGTTGATTATAGTCTCTGGAGCTCAATTATCTCATAAAGTCTCCAACTTTTGGGACAAAACCCTAAAATACACTACTATGATGCACAAATCAAAAGAGTGAGAAAGCTTGGAGCTTTATACCTCTAGATGAAGCTCCCAACTCAGATATGCTCAGATCCAAGGCCTGGACTCTCACTCCTTCTTCTCCCAAAGCTCCTTCTTCACTCCAAGAACACACAAAGTCACTTAAAGGCTCTCAAATGGACACACACAAGCTCAAGAACGAGGATTAGGGTTTTAGAGGGTTGTTATTCTGAAAATGGTGGCCAGGAATGAGGCCATCATATCCTTTATATAGGGACACACCCCAAATTAGGGTTTTCACTCTGGGCCTAGTACGCCCAACGTACCCTCTGGTACGCCCAGCGTACTAGGTGGCTTCCGCGTCAAAAACACGCATATGAGTACGCTGAGCATACACTCGCGTACGCCCCGCGTACTCATTTACCACCTTTTCTCAATAAGGGCTAAACTTGACAATTTACCAAAAGAACAAGGGCTTATAAGATATACCTGGTCTTGGGATGTTACATATGGACTCCTAAGCATACCCTCAAGGCCTCCTTCTTCACCAAAAACACAAAAAGGGTCACTAAAATGCTTCAAATATCACACCAAAGGGCTAGGGTTTCGAGATTAATGAAAGAAATGGTGGAGGCTGAGTATGGAGAGGGTCTTAATGAGTTAAGGTCCTTAAATAGGGGTCACAACCCTACAATTAGGGTTTGAACCATGTGCACTTACGCCATGCGTAAACATGTCTACGCCCTGCGTAAAGCATTAAACCCTCGCAAGGACTTGTTGACCTACGCCATGCGTATGTGACTACCTACGCCCCTCGTAGGACCAATTTTCCCTAAATAAAATTAAGGCTTTAATAACAATATGAGAAAAGTTCCTGAGGAAACGGGTGTTGCACGCTGTGTTTTGTTATCTAAAATTTGACACTATGTTTTCCAATTTGTTACAATTCTGACCATTTGACCGGTCAACCTGGTTGCTTGCGGACGTGGCATGATGATGTGTTAGTTTTTGATGACGTGTCAAAAAAAATTTATACAAAAGACATTAAGTTTTCACCTTTTTCAATTTTGACACTAAGTTTTAATTTTTTTTTCATTTTTGACACTATATTCTTTTGTTCAAATCGATTATCATTTTTTTTCCAATTTTGTTTAAAGTTGATTATTTTCCATTTGAAACCGTATAAATATTTTTTTATTACATTTTAAACAGTATAACTATAAATACATTTTTTTCATTTAAAAACCATATTTTGTATAAATACAAGGCTCTTTTAAATTCAAACCATAATGTAGAATATACACATATTTTTATTTACAAATAAATAATTATATTAGGTATATAGTGATGTTGCATCTAACGTTCGCTTGAAGCATTGAAAAAGAGGCGGGAAATATATAACAAAATATCAAAATTCAATGAAAATACTTAAATAGATGTAATAATGGTGTTATCATTCATAAATATTTTTGAAAATTTGAGCTGAAAAATATGATTTTCAGTATTGTTAATGGACATAGTGATTACATACCTCCAAAATAATTAAATTGGCATTCAATAATTAAATGACCATTCAAGATTAAGTCATGATACCATTCGGGAGTTACACTATGAGATTCAAGATGTTCCTAATAATATTATGAATCTGATATGAGATATAAAAATTTTACGGGTTGCAAACCTGACCTCTAGGCTTTGAACGAATACACGCCTCTGAACCTTCAAATTCATTTTAAAGTTGTGTATTTAACGCAAAATACGTTTTTTATATAACTAATACATATTTGTTAAAAAAAACATTGTATTTATACAAAAATATGGTTTTTAAATGAAAAAAATGTATATACGGTTTAAATGTAATAAAATATTTATACCGTTTCAAATGGATAATGGTCAACATTAAACAAAATTGGAAAAAAATAAAATTGAAAAATTGAAAAAAAAAAATTAAAATTTAATGTTCAAATTGAAAAAAGTGAAAACTTAGTATCTTTTGTAGAAAAAAAATCAATTTTAACACGTCAGCATATCATATTATCAAAACCGACACATCATTATGTCACGTCAGCAACAACCGGGTTGACCGGTCAAATGGTCAAAATTTTAACAAATTGGAAAACACAATGTCAAATTTGAGACAAAAAAAAAAGCATAATGCCAAATTAGAATTTGATGTAAACTTAATAACTTTTGTGTTATTTTTTCTTTCTTATATTGATATGTTTATAATATACATGGATTGCCTTAGGTAGTTGTTTGGATCCTCCATAGGATCTCCCAAACCAGTACGAGGGAGCAACGCCTTGATTGGGCCTAACAATATTATGCTTCAAATCTAATATGCTTCAACCTTGTGGTGATCTACTGCTCCAAAAAACAATCTCTAATTCGACTGCAGACGTAACACAATTATCCCGATCCAATGAATCATATAAATGCTTTGTGTTTTACCCCTGCCTTGTAGTACTTGTGTGTTGATAGTTTGGTTTCCCTAACACTCTTTTTCCTCAATATAGGTCAACCTTTTCTACTTACTGATTTTTTGATTTCGCATATCCTATGGTTAACTAAGTAATTATAATGATCAACATTTACCCAAATATTCCGTCATAAATTGTTTTCCAGTTGTGTAACACCCAAATACTAGATACATACCAATCTTTACTCTTGTTAAAAATCACATACTTTAAACAACTACTAATAAAATTTTATATAATATCACCAATATGACACAGCGATTTAGATCAAAAAGAAAAAGAAAAAAGAACCATATAAAATATATTGTAGGAATAATATAAAGTAATAAATGTATTGAAGAATCAAAAAAGCCTATTCTCATTGCTTTGAACTCCATGTGTGACTGGTGCTTGAGCTTTCACTTTTCTAAAGTACCACACCCCTGCCCCTATTCCAATTGCTCCGGCCACCGAAACTGCCGTTGCAGTCCCTGCAAAATCAAAAACTTATTTAACAACGCCCACCGTCATCTTTGTATACTAATGACACGATAATCAATGAATACGGTATTAAGTTCAACTCAATAACAAACAAAAGAAAGTAGAATACACAAATTTCTCACCAGCAACTACTCGATTACTCTTCCCATGTTGAGAATGATCTGCGAAAACCCGTAAGTTGATTACTTTAATAATAGTAAAGTTGTCACAATAAATAACCATCTTTAAACGTACCTTTGCAATAAGTAGTAACATTTCCATGATCACATAAGCACGAAAAATCATGTGTTCCAACATCAAACCCACACGTACCACTTCCCTTACTTCCATCCTGACATTGCAAACACCGAGTAGTAACAGGAATATCAAAGTCGATCCTAATCCCATACTCCGGGGGTGTGTTATACGTTTGTGACTCTCCTAAATTCCTCCAATACACACTAGTATAAGTCTCGCAATACTTCAACATCAATCTTAACGACTCAGTGGCTTTTGGATAATATGAACAACACGAAGTGCTACCACCTAATGCATGTGTGCACTCAGGTAAGTGTCTACACAAATAGCTAGCGCTATCACACGTCGAGTCGCATCTATCAGGGAACCTTTCACAAACAACCGGTTTAGGCTCCACGATCACGTCTTTTTCGCTACAGTTGAAGAAAAGATAGTCGTTTTGTGGGGAAAGTGAGAAGTGGATGCTTGTGTCGAGGCTAAAGGGTCGAGGGGGTCTGAAATGGGTAGCGTCTTGGCAGTTCCACATGGAAGGATCTGTCACGAGGATGTGAGGATCTGAATAATCGATTCTACGAACTGGGTATTTTCCTGATGGGGTTCTGAGTTCGAGGTGGTTGGATTCGGAGCATACGAGGATGTTTCTGTAGTAGGGGCTGCCACAGCCGTCATCTATGCCAAAAGGGTAGTTGATTTGTGTGTCGCCACAAGAGGTCCTGCAGAGATTTGATTGGGATTTTACAAGGGTGCAAAGTGTAAAGATTAGAAAATGTAGGGTAATGAGAAAAGAGGCCATTGGAGAGAGTTTTAAGGAAGGCGAAGAAGGAGGAAGAAATATGATAGGCAAAAACAAGAGTGCGTTGGTGAGGATTTAGGAAGAGACAATCAAGTGGAAGGGTATTTTTGTGATTTTAATCAACTTTTTCTTTTGCCTTTTCCTTTTTCGGTACTTTATTTAGGTGTTGTTTGTTTTTTCGAAGCGAAAATGTCTTAAGTCTGCGAACCACCTCTGCAATCCTCTGTAGCAGAAAAGGTGGAACAAAAGGCTGCAACATTTAATAAAAAGTCTGTTTGTTTTTAGTGTTTTTCCTCTTCTTTGTTTTCTTTTTAGAGTAAGATTATACTGATTTTTAAGTTAGAAGGGATTTGTTTGTATGGAAAATCATAGAGTAAATAATACAATAATACTTACATGTTAATTCCATTTCCCTTTTGTTCGTAGTATGGTACGAGCAACCCCAAAAATGGTATTACAGATGATGGATGTAAAGGGAGTAACAGTATCTCACATCTAGATCGTGTTTTGATAAACAGATGATTCTAATCAAGTATTCTTTTTTTATATTCTATAAAATGTTGTATTTTGATAAACAGATGTGTTGGAGCAAAATCCTAAATATACTTGCACCAATGCTATTATATGCATTTCAGTATTTCATTATTTTTTTTTTGTTTTTTTCCAAAAGTTTTTGTTTTTCATCATATGTGTATATGACGATATCAATACGCGTTACAACATGTTTTCACTTTTTCCATTCTTGGAATTTGGTTTTCGAATGTCAAACTTTACAATTTATAGAATTAAAGCCACCTCAGTATATGATCAAAATTTTGAGGCCATATAATTGGTTATATATAACTTATATATAGACTAATCTAAACAAACTTATTTACATGCTTATGTTAAGAAATTGTAGTCATTGTAAATGATTTTTGCAAAAGATGTAACAACACTCTGAACAAAATGCAAAACAAACATTACATTTTGTAAAATGACTACTATTGAAAAAAAAAAAAAAAAAAAAAAAAAAACATGTGAGATAGCGATTATTTTTACGTTTGCACAACTTGTCTAAAGTTAACAATTATTATAAGATACAATACTATTTATTATGTATTTCAAAGAAAAAAAAAAGACAAAAGCACTATGCAATATATTGTTCACAAAATATACCACCCTTTCTTTAAATCAAGTATAAATTAAGTGCTACGTTTTTACACATGGTTTACTTTGAACAAATATTTTTAATTATTAGCCTTAATCGCCATGCTATACCCGTGGCCACTGTGGACTAACAACCTACACAAAACCAACACACTTGTAAGCTTCTCTCAAAAAAAAATAAATAAATAAATAAATAATTGCAACTTTGTCTCATTAATTAATGTCAATGTCCAATGCAAGCCAAACACAGTACAACCTGTTACACAAACACTGTGACACTGACCTCAAGTGTGCTAAAAATTAGTCTCATTCGACTAGCAACAACCGATGGCTCTTCTGCACACCCCACCACCGCCATTTGCTCTAGTTGAAGTGTTTTCACCGGAAGCCTTACCAAAAAAAAGGTTATATTTTAATTTTACAACGTAAAAAAAATATTGATTTGAAAATAAATTTTTGATATAAAAGAATGTTTTTATTTTTTATTTTTACCATGCCATTCCTCTTAAATAGTAAGCATTTGCTATGATGGCACAAAATCCTTTCCATTGAAGCTTGATTTCATCTGAGACAGGTGGCGTTGGAGACCACCGAACTATGGTGGGTTGTGGTGTACACAATATGGTTATGAAGATAATACTCAACCACAATATACACTCGTTCACCTGTATCATGAAATATGGGATTTTCTAATATAAATGAAAAGGGTATATTTGGAAATTCCGTTTTTCTTTCAAAAAATTACCTCTTGGTAACAAATCTTAGATTTAAGACTGGTGGCCCCACCATAAGTTTGCATTTCTTGGATCTCAATACCGGATTCTTTGATATTTGTGAGTTCTTTTCGTAACCCTTCATCAGTGCACCCCAAAGCATATGCGTTTACCCCAGCACTAATGAATTCCTGATTGGATGATTTCAAAAAATTTAATAATAAAATTGTTTTCTTCACAATTAAAAAAAGATTAATTAATAAAGTTTACTTTTAGATTATCAGCTCCTCCTCTGTCTATGAAGTTGCGGTATCTTTTAAACAAGCTTATTGCTATGTTGCGTGATGATCGATACTCTTCATCATCTGAAGAAATCGCATCTTGTTGTTGGCACTAAAACAATTCAAGAAAACAGACTTAATTGGGACAAGTGTTGTATGATTAATGACTTTCTTTTTTTGAACAAAATTAATGTAAATGATCATTTTACCTTTATGTCTACAAATGATATGGAATAAAAAATGACTATTTATATGTGACATGTTATAATGACAAATTTTGACATTTAAGATATTTAAATTAGAACTTTTTAATATAAACAAGGGAAATCTCCGATAAACTCTCAATATTTTGGGTCGATTTACGGTTTAATCCTAACATTAATTTTTTGAACAGAAAGTCTCAATTATCTAATTTTATACGATAATCCATCATTTTCTGTTGAAAAAAAAATAAAGATTGTTTCGTCAATTTGGACAAAATATAAAATAATTTAGACTTTTCTGTCGAATAAATAAAAGTTGAGATTAAACCGTAAACTGACCCAAAATATTGGGACATTATTGGAGTACATATACATCTTAATAGAAAAAAAGCTCTTAACCCAGTAAAAGCCCTTAAATTTGGTAGAAATGTTCGGTTTTACCCTTTTGCGTATTCCTAGTTCATTAAAGTTGGAAGTTTGGCTTTGCAACTTTTTTATTTCAATTTTACCCTTTTGAGTATTTTTGGTTCATTAAAGCCCTTAAGTTTGAAAAAATGTTCGATTTTACACTATTGCGTATTTCTGGTTCATTAAAGACCTCAAGTTTGGCAAAAATGTTCGGATTTTCTCAAATTTTTATTAAACATCATTTATGGACAACACTTAACGAAGAAAAAAAAATAACAGAAGAGAAGAAGAGGATGTTGTTTTTTACTAGTAATCTCTTGGATGTTGTTTGATGTGAATATCGGTGAATTTTGTCACGATTAAAGCAGCTTTTTGAGGAAAAATGTGAACTTTGAAATACATTACTGCAACATCCCTTTGTCACCACACAAGAATTTACACTAACTTTGCAAGGAGTGATTGGATCGAGCCTAGTGGCAATATCCGTAAATAAGCAAAAGTTGTTGATAGCTCCTGGACTTTGAGTCATCATCACCATGGTTTAACCATGATATGGTAACCACCTTCAAAAATACAAGTTTTGATAAATTAAAATGCATACGATAACCTTTATAGGAATATGCTTTCATTTAGTTGGGGTATTATATTATAGCATTATACTATGAAATTTTTTTTACCAAAATTATAGCAGTGTACTTTTGAATTTTTATTTCTTGTTGAACATTATACTTAGAAAAACTTACCTAATTGTAACAATGAAAATTGATATGTATTTGGATGAGGATGAAATGAAAATAGGATGCTATAGTAAACAAAATCAATGAAAGTACCTTTTTATTTCTTGCATTTAACTTATAATAGAAAGAATATGCTTATTTTGTGAAAGTTCTCCTATTACTTAAGCTAATCAACGACATGGATCATGCAAATATGAAATGATTGCTAATGTAAACATTAATCTGTTTTTTGCTATCAGATTCTTTATCACTAAAGTAAGGTTGGGTGACCCCTGTTAATCTTTTATAAAATAAGGAGGAAACTGATGAAATAATAAACTAACACCAAAATGGATCAAACAATCAATTCAATTTTCAAAAAAACCTCTTAGTAACGATTCAACTGCAACAATGCTTTACGAATATAAAAAGAAAAAAGAAAAACAATTGCGTACCTAATTAGTGAAGATGAAATCGTCTGCAACAACAACAAAAGGTAGGTGAATTAAGAATAAAATCAAACTTTTTCTACAATAAAGACGAATGAATCAAATCAACGTGTTGTAGCATGTGGACGATCGGAAACACAATTGGTCAACGAAACGTCGACGAATATTCGATCGCAAATGTGTTATTTGAAAAAATCGATAGAAACAAAAGATCAAAAGTTTTAGGGTTAGCTACTCACCAGATCATTATATGTGGAAATTTATAACAAGATTAAGAATCGAATCAAGGTTTATTAGAGGAATTTAATGAAATAAATATGCGTTGAGAAGATGAAAAAGAGGTGTGTACATACATAGAGCCACATGTAAATGGATATTAAGCATATAGAATGAATAAGAATCCACGATGGGGCCACAATCAAACTTGTATGAATGGCTATAAATCTTTGCTCCAAAAATGTTTAATACCATTTCAACAAAATACAAATCGATATGATCCTCTCGTGTTTTGGATTTCTTCTGGTCGCCTAGTAGTACGTGGCAGTTGCATCTCAATTCAGTTGCAACTTGCAAGTTTTATTTACTCAACAACAAATATAGAAAGTGATTCCTTCACAAAAAAATTTGTTATAAATAATAATTTATGTATTAAAAGATTATATAATTTGTATATTATTTCTAAAAAAAAGTTATATACGGATTAGCTGCAAAAATATAAGACTATTATGTTTAGTATAATTATAAAACCATTTTCTTTTCACCAAAAAAATAACCATACATATAACATACCTTGTAAACAAACTAAGGATCATTTTTCAAGAAAATGCACTCGGCTTTACAATATATTCGATTAATTTGTAACCCAATTTTATGTCTAATCTATAACACTATGGTCTCGGGTTTTTTTAAAGAAAGAGAAGTAAACGTGAGGAAATTGTATTTAGGAGGGAAGAAAAGGAAAGAAAAGAAAGTATGTTCTCAAGTTTCATTGAAAAGAAGAAAAGAAAATTAGAGCTTTTTTTCCCTTTGAAATCTATCCCTTTCATTTACTTCCATTTCCTTCCCTTTAATCATGTTAATCATGGAACCAGTTTGGGATACAATCCTATCACTTCTTTGACTTCTCAACAAGTGTCATAAGAAATAGATGATTGTGAAGAACGCGATACTCCAAATACAATACATCAAAGTAAGTTATTTACAACCTTCTGCACTTTCATCTAGACACTGCCAAAGATTATCTCCATTTGTTAGTTGTTTTACATGCATGATTAGATTCTTAACTTGTTTGCTTTTGTATTGTTTTTTTATCTATTGATCTTGAAAATGCATACAATCTTTAAAGACCCCAGATGTGCAAGATGAATATAACAAGGAATGAATCTAAGGAGTTCAATGCAAGAAATCAATAAACACTTGCTCAAAGTAGAATTGTTTACCTTTTCAACAAGAGAGCATATATCATTTGCCCTAAAAAAACCAACATAAACTTTCAAATGCACATTATCCCAAAATGAATCATTGTAGCCTCAAACGAGGCTCTTTCGTTATACAATCTCAAGAACACGTTTTTTATTCCGCTTTTACCAAAACAAAAACAAAAAAACACAATCTCCTTCCTTGCGTTTCTTTCTTTCTTTATATATCAAGAAGCAGTCTTCTCGGGTCTTCAACAACATCCTTAATACGCCTCAAGAAGAACACGGCCTCTCTACCATCAATCAAACGATGGTCATAAGTCAACGCGATGTACATCATTGGCCTCGCCTTTATTTCACCCCCAACAACCATCGGCTTGTTCACTATCGAATGCATTCCCAATATTGCCGACTTCACACAAAAAATATATATATATATATATATATATATATATATATATATATATATATATATATATATAATAGTTTTTCTTATACACCATTAATGACATGTACAACACTAAGGGACTGTTCGCGATATGCCTCTTACTGAGTCTGGTAAAAATGATCGGTCAGATTCAAACTGTTCCGTAAGAGGATGTGTCTGACTCAATCAGACTTTGAGTTAGGCCCCATCTGATAAACATTTTTCCAGGTCTAAAAAGATTTTCCTGGATATATGGGCCAGAAAGACTGTTTGATTTGATTAAAAAAAAAAAAAAAAAAAAAAGAGTAAATTACACGAATGGTCCCTATGGTTTGGGTGATTTGCGCACTTGGTCCCTAACTTATTTTTTTAACTCGAAAGGTCCCTACTATTTGTTTTGTTATGCGTTTGGTCCCTACTGTTTGTTTTTGTTACGCGTTTGGTCCTTGTCTTATCTAAAAAGACTATTATTTAAATAGGGAAAAATGGTGGGGTAGGTAAGGTAAGGTGAAGGGGTGGGGTTGGGGGTGTGTTTATTTAAATAAATTAAAAAAATCAAGGGAAAAAATAGTCTTTTTAGGTAAGACATGGACCAAGTGCGTAACAAAAACAAATAATAGGGACTTTCCGATTTAAAAAAATAAGTCATGGACCAAACACGCAAATTACTCTAAACCATAGGGACCATTCGTGTAATTTACTCTAAAAAAAGGGGGTTTTCCCTGTAAAGATATGTCTTTCTCAGAAAGCTCCAAAACCATATCTTTCTGGCTAGATGATCATTTTTTCATCATTCAGTAGTCAGAAGTACAATCAAACAACATGGTTTCTTTTCCGGTCAGTAAACTTTCCCAGACAACAACTATCAAACGGGCCCTTAGACTTAATCAGATCTGACTCAATCAGCAACTATCAAACAACCCCATATGTCAATGGGACAAAAAACCAATTTTGTTTGGCTTTTTTTTCTTATTATTACATTGTAGTTTAAAAGCTCTACCTAATCATAGCAATGACATGGTGGATTTTTTTAAAGTAGAATGTGGTAATAAGATAAAAGATTGAAATGGAAAGTAGAATGAACGAATGATGATGATGATGATGATGATACCTGTGGAGGGTTTATGATGGGAGTACTTAAAAGGCTTCCATAGACACCACCATTAGAGATAGTGAAAGAACCTCCAGCCATTTCATCAATTGAGAGGGACCCACTATTAGCCTTTTTAGCTAGACCATTGATTGTCTTTTCTATTTCAGCAAAGTTCATTTTCTCAGCATCACGGATCACCGGAACCACAAGACCCTTCAATTCAAAACCATATTTTTTTTAAAAATTTTATATCAATAATATTATTTCTAGATGAAAGGGTAAAAGTGGAAATATACCTTTGGAGTACCAACAGCAATACTGATATCAATATAATCTCTATATATGATGTCATCTCCATCAATCACAGCATTAATGATTGGTTGATTTTGGAGCCCACTAACAGCAGCCTACAAAATATACATCAACTATAATTAAATAAAAAATAAATAAATAAATAAAATGGAAGAAACAATGGATTTGTAACTTACTTTCACAAATCCAGACATGAGTCCCAACTTCACTCCATGCTTCTCAAGGAAAGCTTCTTTATATTCGGATCGAAGTTTCATTAAATTTGTCCTAAATTAAATAATACAAAATATTAACTCATTAAAAATGTGATGTGAATTATTTAAATATATAATAATATGACTTACATATCGACTTCATTGAAGGTAGTCAACAAAGCAAAAGTATTTTGAGAATCTTTCAAACGTGTAGCCACACGCTTCCTCAGCCTTGTCATTGGGACCTACAGTAAATTTTATAATATTAAATAAAAAATCTTGACTTTGACTTTGACTTTGACTTTGACTTTGACTTTGACTATACTTACTCTTCTTTCTCTATCTTTTGGAGGAAGTTGAGGTTCAGATGCTGAAGGTTTTGGAGGTGGTGGAGAGGATACTTTTGGTGCCTCTTTTGGCGGTGGAGTGGGCGGTGGTTTCTCAACTTTGGCCGGAGCAGGCTCAGGTGCCGCCTTGGAAGGTGGCTGAGGGTCAGAATCAGATGGCTCCACATGGGTGGTTGCACCTTCACCGGATTTTGATATTATTGCAACTTTTGTACCTGGTTCCACTGTGTCTCCCTCTTGTGCAACAAACTGAGTTAAGGTTAAAAGGGTATGTGAGTAATTTTAACAAGAAGGATAATTATGTACTTGTGAATTCATACTAAAATTACAATTTACCTCTTTGATAACTCCAGCTTCAGGACTAGCAACATCAATTGTCACCTGCATGATTAACAAATTTAGAACTCATAATTACAGATAGAGATTTGTTCTCAAGCTCTTGTATGTGCAAAAGACGAAAATGCCCTCATCATCAAAAAAAAACATTAGTACCTTATCGGTTTCGATTTGGGCAATTGGCTCATCAACTTCCACACGATCTCCAGGTTCTATGAACAACAAAAGCAAAGTTTTTTTAAAAAAAAAAAGTAATTATACAAATGAAAGAGAGAAATAATTTGTCTATTCAATTTAAACATACTCTTTAGAAAGGTTGCTAGAGTGCCATCACTAATGGATTCCCCCATAAAAGGGACAACAGCATCAACCAAGTCACCTTCATAACACAAAAGAAAAAAACAGGATATAATTTAGTCATTATAAAGCACAAGAAACGAAAAATGTACTTTTGTTTATTTGTTTATTATATTTACAGCATCCTACTTTCATTTCTTCCTATAATAACCTCGTACTTTAATGTTAGACAAAAAAAAAAAAAAAAAAAAGAGAAGGATTTTTTGAAGTGCAATGATTAATAAGAAAGAAATGAAAATAAGATGCTACAACATAAAAATAAATGAAAGTGTGTTATTGTGTATTGTCTTGCATTTATCCATAAGAAAAAACATACCACTGTCTGAAGAAAAAGATCGGCTCCACATTTGTGTTGAAAAATCTGTTTTAGGTGATGAAACAACATTCCTGTATAACAAAAAGATGTTTAAGTAAACAAAGGTTAAAACACAGATTATTCATATTTCATTGAAGATGGTAACAAATCATGTTTAATTTCATTTTCTCAATTTGTATAACATGATCCATCGAGTTTCTTCAAAAAGAGCTATTGAGTGTGTGTGTGTGTGTGTGTGTGGAGATAAAGAGAAGGTACAAAAGTATATAAACCTTAAAGGCATTGAATAAACCGGAGCACCTGTAAAAATTTAAGCAACACATTAAGAAAGTAAGAGATTAATGCATGCAAGAAGCTTTGAGTGTGAAAAATCAAATCTTTTTGTGGAATAAAGAACTTACCTTGATGAATTTGTCGTATTAGGTTATGATTTCTTCCAAGAGTTTGTGCCTATGATAATGGCACATGACAGCAACAAATAAATAAAATTAATATGATAAACAATGAGGAAAAAAAAATGTGATGAATGCATTACCTCAGGTACCAAGATTGATTCAACATAACCATGGGACTTGGATCCTGTCAATGCAGGCCGAGCCATCCCTATAGATTGTACAGAGCCCTGGAAACAATTCAAACAACTTATGTATATGCAAGGGTACATATACACACATATACGATATATGTATTTGTCTACATATGCACATGTGTATACTGTGGTATACACACATATGTATACTGTGTGTGTACATATACGTATACATTGTGTATATGTGAGTATCCTTACTCATGCTTCAATGTTTGTTATTTCCTCAAATTTTCTTCTATTTCACAAGTTTCCATAAGAAAAAGTTCAATAATTTACTATGAAATGTAACATCTCCTAATAGAACCTATCAAGAATAAGGCGACTGGTTTTCATAACAAGAAGAAATCAGAAACGAAAATGGTGAAGCATACATACGTAATTCACTAAATTATATGAGCTCGCAGAAGCAGCTTTCCGCCTAAGGATTCCCAACATCGTGCCGTGCCTCTAATGTTTCCTACACAATATGAAACATTCAATATCCATACAAGTGATAGAACCTAATCTACGAAATGATTGCATAGTTCTCGATCTCACGGATAAAGATCTGAAACCCTTTTTTAAAACATCATCAAGGGAAAAACCAGCCCTAATTTGTAATCAAATTAAAATGAAATTTCGCAATCAATGTTGTAGAAAAAGAAAACAGGTATACCAAATTGCGAGACCGTTAGGGTTTCGAACCACGATGATACGATGAAAAAACAAAATAAGGATTTGATTTTTGCAGATTCATTTGATCGTTTAGATAGCTAGAACGCACATCACGAGAAAAGCATATAGCACTACATGGATTAGATGTAAAAATTGAAGGAATCGAGTCAAAATCGAGTGTGTACCTGGTTTTTTTTGCGATGAAGAACTCCAGATGTAACGTGTTAGCTGTTCTTTTACATACACGGGAAAGAATTTATTCGAATGATGGGGGAGACAAGCAGGGGAGCAGCCAATTTTTCAGCTTCTTTCTAGAATTATTATTATTAGTCAATAAAGACTGGAATTATATTATATAAAATATAAAATTATGGATATGCTTTTTTTTGGAAATTTTTGAAAAATATAATTTATATTTGAGAATTTTCAAAAAAATAACCAAAAAAATGGGAGTTTTTAAAAGGGATAACGAACTCAAAGAGTAATATAGTTTAGATTGAGTTTATATTTAGTCACTTATGTTTATTTATTTATATATTTGGTCATTTATATTAGGTCGGACAATTCTCGATACGACCCGTGACACGATCCGCGACACGACATGAAATAAACGGATTTGGTTTGAGTTCTTCAACACGTCAACCTGTTTATCAAACAAGTCATATATGGGTTTCTTAAAAAATATACAGTTTAACCGCCAACCTGTTTAGAATTTTAATAAAAAAAATTATATATTTTTTAAATGTATTAAGTATTATACACTATAGAGTTTATATTTTATACTAGGATAAGATATCTGATACCATTGACCATTTGACCCGTCGGTAACCATTTGCTGATTTGTATTGCAACGCGTTCGGTGTTTGCCCTAAATAATCTCAGTATCTCGAAAACAAAGTCAAATAAGCACTCTCCCGATCTCCCCTCTGTGATGAACGATAGATCGAACTTACGAAGAACGGTGGCATGAATTATAGAATCATTATCGAACGACGTCGACGCCAGCAATTGAATTTATCTATGTTTGTATTAATGTTTTAGTTTGAACATTTTTCCATGAATGTTTTTTATTTCATTTGGATGTTTAAGACTTAAGATTCTAAAATTTTGGATATGTTTGCATCAAGAGTTTATTAATGCTTAATTATCAATTTTTGTTTATAGAATCTGACCCACGAACACATGAACCAAATATGAACCACGAACCCTCGAACCCAAATCTGACCCACGAACTCGTATAAATAAGTGGGTTGACGGGTCATATCTAGGTTTATGTTCCAAACCCGCCAACCCGTGACCTGTATAGTTAAATGGGTCGTATTCGGGTTGGTATATTTTGACCCGCCAACCCGAACACGACACGATTGTCAGACCTACTTTATATTTTATATATATATATATTTAGTCACTTATGTTTTTTATTTTCTACACGTATTACTATTACGTTTGATGGGTCGTATTCGGGTCGTATTCGGGTTGGTATATTTTGACCCGCCAACCCGAACACGACGCGATTGTCAGACCTACTTTATATTTTTTATATATATATTTAGTCACTTATGTTTTTTATTTTCTACACGTATTACTATTACGTTTGATGGTCATATGTGTACAAAGGCAAAAACATAAGTGACTAAACGTGTACAAAAAAAATATAAATGACTAAATATGTACAAAAATAAACATAAGTGATTAAATGTGTACACAATCTAAACTATGTTATCATTTGAGTGCATTATCTATTTTCTAAAAATGATCATATACTCTGTAGAGGCCGTATGGGGAGCATGATGTGGTTTTTGGACCAACCTGATAGGTGTGGTTTCTATATGTGTAAGGGATGATGCACCAAAAGGGTAACATAGTTTAGATTGTGTAAACATTTAGTCACTAGCTTATATTTATTTTTGAATACATTTAGTCATTTGTGTTCTTTTTTGTAAATATTTAGTTACTTATGTTTTTTATTTTGTATACATATGACCATTACGTTTGATGGTCATATGTATATAAAGGAAAAAACATAAGCGACTAAACGTGTATAAAAAAAACATAAATGACTAAATATGTACAAAAATAAACATAAGTGACTAAATGTGTAAACAATCTAAAATATGTTACCTTTTTAGCGTATTATCCCTATTTGTAAAACCGATTGGTGCGGGGGGTTTTCGGTTTGGTTTTGCGGTTTTTGATTACTTTGGTGCGGTTTTAATTTTAACCGCAAAAACATGGTGGTGCGGTTTATCTTTGAAGATTTTTTATGTTTTGAATCTACAAAAATAAATGAAAATATTAATATATAAACCACCATTAATCATAATCATAATATGAAGTCGAAACATATGGAAAAACCTTACCAAATTTTAAGCCCATCATATTCTTATTAAATTCATCGATGTGTTTACTCTTTGTAGTACAATCAGGCTTAAGATCTACCGATGAACACCTAATCCAATCTTGTGCACAAATTAAAACTTTTGCGGTGTCAAAGTTAAGTGGACTTTTATATTTATCAAAAACTTTGTCACCCGTACTAGATGCCGACTATGATGCACTCGTCGAGATCGACATAGCCAAAACATTTCTATCTAGTATAGACAATATAGTGCTAAACTCAGAATTTCATAATATTGGTGATATTTATGTATGTTTACTTGGAATCAGAAGTAGCATGAGTTTAGTGTGCGATTTTGCATTTCTTCAATTTGTCGGAGTTTGATCTTTAATAGGTGATGGGATTGACGATGAGAATGTTTGGGTGGACGACGAAGGCTAGGGGACTTGGAGCAGATTACGATATCAAGTAAAATGGCAATTCAATTTTTTGGTTTATCCTACTTACTCGCTTAGTCTCTTTATAATTGTTTTTCAGCGAAAATATGATTTTATTAAATAAATAATATTATATTATATATATAAATAATATATTAAATTATGTGGTGCAATTTTAGTTATTTGGTGTGGCTATACAATATACAATCGCACCGCACAAAAAGATTGCGTTTTTTCAAAATTTAAGAACGCACCATCGGTTTTTGTTTTGGGTTCGATTAATGTGGTTTTTCAGCTATGGTTCGGTTTTTGTTCATCCCTAGTAGAAGGGCTTTTGGATATTGGGTATGCCCTATGCAGACTACCATTTTCCATTTCTTCTGCTTTTCTTCTTTTTGCAAACTAAAAAATGTTCTCTAAGAATTTAGATAAAACATAGCTAAAACAATACTATAACTTCAATGAGCTTTAGTTGATTGAAAAGGTTTCTTCCCCGTTTTATATGACGAATTTCCCTGTTGATTTTGGAGTGAAGGAATTATGGGATGCATGTGCGAAGGTGGGGACTGTGGCTGATGTTTACATTGCAAAGAATCTATCCAAATTAGGTAAACATTTTGCCTTTGTTTGTTTCATTAAAGTGTCAGATGAGAAACTGTTGGAAAGTAAGATTAGAGATATTTGGTTGGGTTCATACCATCTGTTTGCTTCAGTAGCACATTTTCAGCGAGAACCTGATCGTAAGGGGCAGTCTAATTCACATGTGCATGGTGATCAGGTGGTGTCGAAACTTAATGGGCAGGGGCTCGGATCCTATGCGACTGTGGTTAAGGGGGTAAGGGCATGCATGGGCTGAAAGGGCCTAAACCTAATGTTTGTACTTTGTCTGGGAAAGAGATATGCAATAATTTGTCCTTAAAGGCTTCGGTGTTTGCGAAACTCAGGGATATTAGGTTGATTCAAAATTTGTTTGTGTTATTGAAAGAAGAAGGTTTTGATGATCTTCAAATCAAGTATGTTGCTAGTGATTGGGTATATTTGACATTTTTGTCTGAAGAGGTTTGCACCAGGTTCAAGAAATGTAAAGGTATTAAGGCTTATTTCTCTTTGTTTAGGCCGGATGTAAATGGGTTTTTTGTTAAGGAAAGAGTTGTGTGGATTGAGATGATTGGGTTGCCTTGTTGTGCATGGAATGAAGATGATGTTTCTAAGGTGGCTAGCATGTGGGATGATGTATGTTTTCTAGATGATGATGGGGATGCTCCATTGGCAATCAAAAGGGTGTGTATTAGGACGTCTAAGCCGACTTTGATCCATGAGGCATTTAAAGTGGTTGTCCAAGGTATTGAGTATGATGTGGCAGTTCGTGAAGTTTTTAATTGGGAACCGGATATATTGGAAGAGGGGGAGGTGGGCTTGGATATTCCAGACTTGTCGGATGAAGAGGAAGCCAATGATTTTTTTGGTGAAGATGCGTGTGATCTACAAAAGGATTGTCAAGAGGGTAAGGGTGATGAGGAGGTGGTGGATTCTTTTAATGTGGATAACACTCCAAATTTAGTTGATCGAGGAGCCGGTTTTGTAGATAGAAAAGGTCATTTTTTTCAAACTAGTGGAAGGAAGAAGAAGGTGGATAGATGCTTTGAAGATGATGAGCAGGTCAAATCGATCCAGGTTGATGCATCGGTGAAGTCGCCAACTAGGCATTAGAGTGTTTCTTCGCCGGCTAAGGAGGAAGTTTGACAGGGTGGAGTAGTGGGGGGTGGGGCTTCGGAATCTTTATCTCAACCTCCAGGGTTCCAGCGTGAGAAGTTACATGGGAATTTTAATCTTAACGCCTCGGCGTCGAGATCCTCTGGTTCACATGTTTCTTCTAAATTGTTAAAGAAGAAAGTTCTGATGGGTGTAGAGGATATTGAGGATGTCTTGAAACAATACTTTGAAATGGGTGATCTTCTTGGGCATGACATGAAATCTCATAAGGATAAGATTTCTAAAATCTTGTCTAGCATTGGTGTGGTACAAGTGCATAGATCAATTGTCTATCTTTGAATATTTGTGGTACCCGAACTTCTCTAAAAAGAAGTTGGGTTCATTCGTTGTGTATCCAGAATGGGGTGTCATTTCTAGTGTTACAGGAGACTAGAATGACAAAAATTGATTTGTTCAAAGTTAGGAGTATGTGGGGTAATCCATGTTTTGATTTTGCGTGTAGTTGTGCTCGGGGTCTCTCAGGGGGTATTCTTTCTGTTTGGGACCCTAATGTGTTTGTGAAAAGCAGTGTTCATTGTACGGATAATGTGGTTATAGTTGGAGGAGTTTGGGTTCCTTTTAGTTTTCCTTGTTACATGGTTAATATCTATGCTCCTCAAGGTGTCCAGGAGAAATTTGACCTGTGGCATTATCTTAAGGATTTTAAAAGGAGGAATGGGGGGAATTATGTGTTTTTTGGAGACTTTAATGTTGTTAGGGAGGTGACTGAAAGAATGGGGTCCGTTTTTTGTCCTATTACAGCTTCTGCTTTTAATGATTTTATTGATGATATGGGTCTCATTCATGTGCCTATGATTGGGAAGCGGTTCACTAGAATCAATGATGTTGGTTCCAAGTTAAGTAAGCTGGATAGGTTTTTGGTGGATGATGCTTTTTATGATAGATTTGATCACCTTCAAGTTTTGGTTCTTGATAGAAGGTTGTCTGATCATTGCCCTATTTTCTTGCATGTGTCTTTGGTGGATTATGGTCCTTCATCATTTAAATTCTTCAACTCTTGGTTAGAGCTTGATGGATTTAATGATATGGTGAAAGATGTTGTCAAGGAGTTCGTGGTTGACAGGTCTTGGACTAAGTTTGTTGTGTTAAAAAATAAACTTAAATTCTTGAAAGAGCGGATAAAAAAATGGGTTGCGGGTTATAAGGAGGAATCTAGAGGCTCTAGTAACCGTCTCTTATCTTGATTGGTTGATATTGATAAGATCTTTGATGATGGTGGCTCGTGTGATGATTTGGCTCGGGAGAGAAGGGCTATTCTCGGTGATCTGGCTTCCTTGGAAAAGTCTCGATCTCTTGATTCAACCCAAAAAGCTCGATTTAAATGGGCTATCGAGGGGGACGAGAACTCAGCTTTTTTTCATGCCATGTTGAAGCAACGAAGACGTAAGAGACTTATTAGAGGCATCTCTATTGACAGGGAGTGGGTTGCGGATCCCCTTCTAGTTAAAAAAGCCTTATATGATTTTTATGCATCTAAATTCCAACCTTTTAAGGGTGTTCCGATGGGCCGTAAGAGTGATAGATTCAGATCTCTTGATCCGGGCACGGCTATTTCTCTTGATTCAGTGTTCTCTACTGAAGAGATCAAGAGTGCGGTCTGGGATTGTGGGTTGGATCGGGCGCCGGGTCCAGATGGATTCTCTTTCCGGTTTCTCAGGCATTTTTGGGAGATTTTGGGTGATAATGTGGTGGCTTTTGTGCAGGAATTTTGTGTCAATCCTAGGTTTCCCATTGGGTGTAATTCTTCTTCTGTTACGTTGATTCCTAAGATTGACAATCCTCTTCGTATCAATGATTATCGGCCTATTAGTCTCATTGGTATGCAGTTTAAGATTATTGCTAAGCTGTTGGCTAATAGGTTAGCTCCGGTCCTGCATGATGTTATTGGGTTGGAGTAATCTGCTTTTCTCAACTCCAGGCAAATTCTAGATGGCCCTCTTCTTGTGAATGAGATGGTTCGGTGGTTCAAGCACAAGAAGAAGAAACTGATGATTTTTAAAGTTGACTTTGAAAAAGCGTATGATTCAGTGAGTTAGGATTATATTGACAGGATTATGATGTTTCTTGGTTTTGGGGAAAGATGGAGGGCTTGGACTAGGGGATGTTTTCAAATGCTCATTCCTTAGTTCTTTTGAATGGTTGCCCTACGGATGAGTTTCAGTTGTTTAGAGGTTTGAGACAAGGTGACCCTTTGTCGCCTTTTCTCTTCATTATTGTTATGGAGGGCCTTCATATTGCTATGGAGGATGCGGTGTCGGAAGGTGTGTTTAGGGGGGGCCCAACTTGAGTCACAAGATTTAGCTATCTCTCATCTGTTTTATGCAGATGATGCTATTTTTCTGGGAGAGTGGAATGAGAATAATGTCTGAAATTTGATTCGGGTGTTGAGATGTTTTTATTTAGTCTCGGGTCTAAATCTCAACCTTTCTAAATCTAGTCTATATGGCGTGGGGGGTGGTAGGTCTGAAATCACCAATCTTGCTTCTTTTATAGGCTGCTCGGCTGGATCTTTTCCGTTTCTGTGTCTTGGTGTTCCGGTTGGCGAATCTATGGTGCGTGTTATAGGATGGCAAATAATTATAGATCGCTTCAAGAAGAGATTGGCGTCTTGGAAAGCTAGATTGTTATCTATTGGTGGTCGCTTAACTCTTGTTAAGTCAGTCCTGGGTAGCCTTGATATTTATTACTTGTCTATTTTTAGGCCTCTTGTTGCTGTCTTGCAGGCTTTGGAGAATATGAGGGCTCGTTTTTTTGGGGGTATGGAAGAGGGTCAAAAACGTATTCATTGGGTTAAGTGGAATTTGGCGTTAAACTCTTTTGACCAGGGTGGTTTGGGTATTAGTAGTTTAGATGCTTTTAACCTGGTACTTTTATATAAATGGAAATGGAGATTCTTTAATGAGCCTGAAGCCTTATGGGTGAAAGTTTTAAAGTTTTTTTATGGTGAAGGGGGAGGTTTTTCTGGGGTCTCGAGAATACAAAGTGGTGGTGGTGTTTGGCAAAAAATTGTTGGGTATATTAATCATCTTCACGAGAGTGGGTTTCTGCCTTCGAATGCCATGGCTAGAGTGACCGAGAATGGAGCTAGCATTCGGTTTTAGCATGATGTCTGGTGCTTGGATGTTCCTATTATGGTGCAACTCGGAAGATTGTTTGCTCTAGCTTCTAATTAAAATTCTTTAGTTAGAGACTATTGGTCTCCAACGGGTTGGGTTTTTGCTTGACGTCGTGATATTAGAGGAGGGGTTGAACAGGAGCGGCTTACGAGTTTGATGTCTTTGTTGGATGGCTTTCATCTTGGCACAAAGTTAGACAAATGGGTTTGGAATCTTGATAATTCGAGGTGCTTTTCGGTTAAATCGACTAGGAATTGGATCGATGATTCGAGACTTCCATCGGGTTCCTTGCCCACTCGATGAAATCGCTCAGTTCCTATTAAAATAAATGTTTTTATTTGGCGTTTATTGATGTATAGGCCCCCTGTTAGGTCGAAGTTGGTGGAGAGAGGGGTGGATCTTGACTTGGTTTTGTGTCCATTGTGTCACGATGCTACTGAAGACGTGTTGCACTTGTTTATTTAGTGCACAGTTGCTACTCAAATTTGGAGGCGGGTTAGTCTTTGGCTTGATTTGGATATCCATGTTTTTCTCACTATGATAGACATGATGGACTGGATTGATGCGAGGCCTAATGTTAGGCAACAACGGGCGCTTGTTGACTCGGTTTTTTCTGTGGTCATTTGGGTGCTTTGGACGTTCCGTAATGGTATTTTGTTTAGTAGTAATAAGCCTAGAAAAGATAGGATTTTTGATTCCATTGTTGATATTTCGTTTCGTTGGTTCTCGTCTCCTAACTCTAAGGCTAGGATTAATTGGAGTTTGTGGCTTCAAAATCCTACTCAGTCTTAATGGTCTGTATTTCTAGCGTCTTGCTAGTTTTGTTTTAATATATTTGTTTGCTGTCGTTCAAAAAAAAATGAGCTTTAGTTATGAAAATAAGCAAATCAATAGTCGATATGTTTTGACAAAATTGTGGCCATTGGCCATTTTTCTACTAGTAAAGGGGAGAAAAATGAATGAAAGTGAGCTAATGGAGTTGAAATTTGTGCATTTGAATACATTGCTACAAAAGGATATCTTTTCACCCGAAGAAGAAAACATAAAATGTTTTCGAAGTTTTATGGAAACTAATTATAGTTCTAATTAGTTCATTTTGTTGTTTATTTTAAGTATATTTTCTTTTAATTATATTTTAATGCATTTGTAAGATATTTTATTATGAATTTTTGTTTTTTTACGTATGTGTACGATATTTTATTAAGTAACTAGAAAAGATCCCCGCGTTGCGGGGACCGGAAGATATTCATTTGCAAAGTATGTTATTTATGTTAATTAGTGTTATTGTGGTGCACAGTAGGATTTGATACCAAATTTACTGAAATTTGAGGGTAAAACCGCCAAGCAAAAAGTAATTGCAACCCAACATCTGTATAGCTGCTAGTTGTAAAGAAATTAAAGTATATTGTAAAATTTTCTACAATTTAAAAAGATGATAGTAAAATGCTATAAAAGAGCATCAATACAGTTGGTTCGTGTTGTTGCACTTACGGCCTACCATTCCCTTTATGACTATTGGGTTGCTATTTCCATATAAATATAGAAAATAATAGTGTTCGGTCGATTTTCAAATATTTTTTATCAGAACAATAACATGTATCATTTTCATATTATTTTTACTTGACAAATAAAAATAATAGTTAACATAAGTATTTAGAAATTAAAAAAATTATTTAGTAATTAAAAAAAATGTTTTTTTTGCAAATGTAAGCAACTATTTTACAACAATCAAAAGATAGAAACAATTTTATCCATCTTTACAAAAATAAAAATGTACTCGCAAAGTACATTGTTACTTTAAATAAGCTTGTTTTTTTTGCA